GGGGGGGTGTACCATATATATATATATATATATGTGTGTGTGTGTGTGTATGCATATGTGCATATATATATATATACATATATATATATATATCTACACACACATACATACACCCCTTAACCGCACGCGCGCTGACGGTGCCAAGCGGGAGCCAAAATACACCTTAACCTACCAAAACCTACTTTTTTGTAGGTTCTTATTATAAACCCTAATATTGGATATATAGGTTCCCAGGGAACCTACAAAAAGTAGGTTCTGGTGGGTTAAGGTATATATGTACGTTGCCAAGTGGGAGCCAAAATATATAGATTATAGAGACAGCGGTCGGATTATTTAGTATCGGGTTTTTGGGTATGTTGTACTTTGCTCATCGAGGGACTATGAGGGATAGGGGAACGGTTTAGAGCAGGGTGTCGGGGCACATTCTGTTGGGAGCCGTAAAGGCTACTACCACGAGTTATTCAGGTCGAGCGGTCTATGGTTAAGGTTTCGGGTTGCTGGGTTGAAGTCTTGAGGGATCATGGACCCAGGGTGCAGCCATTCTCGGCTATGCGTGTTGGATTTGGGGTTTTGGGTTTTAGAGTTTGGGGGGGCCGTGATCTTAGGGGTCAACTTGGGGTTTGTGGATACTCTACTTTTGCACCTAGCCGGAGCGGGCACATGTAGAACAGACGCTACATAGATACATATATGCATGCATACTTGTGGTGTGAAGTCCTCTCGCGGAAAACACACATAGAGGCACCGGAATGTGTTGCCTGGTTGAAATACTTATTCAATTGCTAGTCTAGGGAAGGCAGTGTTTTTTGCCGGCGCAGCTACAGCTACAGGGTGCGAATGCTGTGGCTGAAGTCACGTGTGCCTCCCTTAAAAACATCCTTTATCTACCTCTTCGGTCCGCAATATAGCAAGTACACACAAGCCATTGAACCCGACCCCTCTTCTCGATATCAACAGTTGGCTGTGTTTAGGCCCGTGTGCCCTAAACTGCCCAATTTCCTACACTATGTAGTGTATCGGCCATCCTTCTTGAAATGCCCTTTAAACAAACCGCCGTAGCCTTCGTACGCTCCTATTCCTCTTCTTTGTTGCTCACTTTCCTAGGCAGACTAAGTTCAGACCTCGGAGGCAGCTAAACCTACCCGCTGGCTGCAGGCAGTCCCGTAGTCCATGGGTCGGCCGGAAGCTTGACGGCGACTGGCTCGGTCGAGGGTTTGACTCCGGAGATATGTAAAGCCAGCACATCCCGCACGCGTTCAAGAGATGCTACGTGGTAGTGCACGGATTTGTTACTATCAGCCTCTGTATTATAGAGGTTGATAATGGCCCTATGAAGTGGCCAACTGCAGTCCTCTATGAAATGGGTTTGGCCATTTCATAGAGGGTCATTTTATAAAGGGGATTGGTTTGTAGGAGATCTGGGGGCCCATTCTATAGACTTGTTGTGTTTTCCTGCGAAAGTCTAGGGTATCTCAGTGGGGTCATTCTATAGCCAGAAGCCGGTCGATAGGTTTGAAAGGTCGACATCGATTGTAGCACCGTACATTGTCATCTCGATTGTTCCGGGTGAGTCCCGGGAGTCATTCTATGGCCCCCTCAGGTTCTGGCCCGTAAGCCTAAACCACAAACGCAGAACCCAAAGCCCCTAAGCCCAGAACCTTGCAACCCAGTAACCCTAAACCCCGAAACCCTTAACCCTCAAAACCTAAACCACGAATCCCGCACCCCTAAAGCCCAGAAGCCAGCAGCCCAGAAACCCGAAACCCCTAAAGCCCAGAACCCCTACACCCCTAAGCCCAGGAGCCTGCAACCTAGAGACCCTAGACCCAGAACTCTTAACCTTTCAACATGAGCCCTCAGCCCCTATACCCAAAACTTAAGCCCTAGCCCCTACCTCAGAAGCCAGCAATCCTGCCCCCTGTCGCTGGCCGCGGCCCAGTGGCACCGCCTGGCACAGCTTGAGGGGGTTAGGGGGTGCTTGGCCAAACCCTGCGATTGGTGCCAGGGGGTGCCCCCGCCGCTAATGACGGCTTTGGGGTTCATCCCCAACTCAAGCAGCCTCAATCCTGAATTGCCGAGGAGCCAGAAACTGCGAGAGAGGAACCTTGGACCATTAAACGAGCAGGCCGATGCAGCTCCAAACCCTCCAAAACTCTTAAACTGTAAGCCTTATTCCATATGTAACCCCCAACCCTACATTAAACGCTTATTCCCTGGAGCCTTGCCTGCCTTGAGCGAGTGTGAGAGTCGAGCCGTACGCCCGAAACGACAGGGGCTAAGACCGGTCTATGTTTCGTACTGCATGTGATGATTCAGTTGTATACTGCAGGCACCACAGTCGCGCGCATTGCCAGCGCACCCTGTAATTTAACCACTCTGGCCTTTGAATAGATTTCGGGCCTGCCCTCTTGAAAAGCAAACCCATGAGCGATTCAACCACTACATCCGAGACTCCACAACTGTAAATAAGAACCGCAACAACCCAACATTTCTCGGATCCCGAACCCCCGAATCCAACGCCCTCAAGGCCAACATTACCAAATCCAAAGCACCTTAAAGCCTCAACTCAGCTCAAACTGCAGTAAAACCACAAACACCCGATGCAAGCACGAGCACAAGTGTTGCATGTAATCGATAGAATCCGTGCACAAAGCTGCGGAAACCCTGTAAAACAAGTCAACCCCTTCCGGCACTCCTGCCCCACAAAGATGTCAATTTCCCAGGTTGCCGAGCAGCTGACGGCCGCTGCCGTGACGGCGGCCAAGGAGCAGCCGAGGCCTCGAGTAAGGTGTAGGCCTTGAAGTGTAGGGCTTGCGGCTTTTAGGGCTTAGGACGTAGCGGTTTTAAAGGGGGTCTTATAAGGGGTTTGTAGGAGTTCTATCAGGGTGTCAAAAGGGTTTTTCTAGGGTCCTGTTGGATTCTGAAGAAGTAACCATGCAGCAGCTTTAGAGCCCTCCAGTAGCTATACTGACTGCGCTACCAGGCCGGTAAGATCCTACCCGCAAGTAGTTTTAGAAACCCCGCTACGGTTTGGGACCCTCGGGTTAAGGTTTTTGAGGGTTCACGGTTTGGGGCCCTGCAGACCCAAAGGAGTCCCGAAGGCTTTACCAAAGTAAGCCAGCCTTAAAACCCATGTATGGAACCTTGCTGGTGCCCTTCACGGGAACCTTATGGTACCCCTACATGCCCCGTATAGGACCCTCACAGTAGTAAAAAGCGAAGACGAGGCCAGCGCCTGAGCCGCCGAGTGCGTCACCCGAGGCCTTGCAAGCGGAGCAGGCCGGATGCTCGTTGTACGGGGGCTTTTGAAAAATAAAGCCGAGGTCTGACAGAAAGCCGGCAGAGCTAAGTTTCAAGGTCCTGTATATTGAACGGACCCGGTGGTTCTGTATTGCGATATAGTTAGGGTTTACGGTCGCGGGTTTCGAAGTCACGCTCTACCCTCGGGGTCCGTGCAGACTTGCCTTCAGTGCCCACTATACAGGCACAGGAAACCTCGGAGTTAACACCTAAGCTCCACAGCCCTAACCCATAGACCCTTGAATTCAAGAACCCCTACAACCCTCTACATAGCCCCAAAGCCCTAGACCCTTGACCCAAAATCCTAAAAAGCAAGAAAAATCCCGAAAGCTTCAAGCTTCGCCCATTTACTCTCCGGAGGTCGCCGACAGCGTGGTGGCAGCAGCCGCCAGGCAAGTCGAAAGGACGCCCTCTACCGCGGTCATGGAGACGGAGATCTCGCAGGCTGGTTTTACGGGTTATATAAGGGTCTTACAGGACTCGTAGGGGGCTTTATAAGGGTTTAGGACAGCCTTATCGGGTTTATTAGGTTTTTTGTGTGGCATAATTTAAGGATCTTAGGTTACCTGGAGCCATTCGGGGCAGTCTTACTTGCATAAAAGCTTAACTATTTCGCGCCAGGAGGGAGATCTGCAACTATCGCGATTCGGGTCACCTGTTGAGGATTGGACGTTTACGTTGTTGTTTGGAGTGCCGTTCTTGATACCATGTGTTGATGAATCTCGGTGCCTTATCGTAGCCGCTGCAGAACAACGCGTCTCTTCCTGTCCGGCTTTCGGTAGCTGCGAACCAAAGCGAGAAAGCTCAAAATGCTGTATAAAGGTCAGAAGATGGCTTATACCTTGGAGTAGGGTCCAATAAGAGATCCATGGTTCTGTGATACCAGAACCGGGGGTTCTGATTGTGCGTGTGTGTGTGTGGGGTGATTATGATTTCAGGTAGATTTCTGTGCTAACGGGCATGGGGCTTTGAGGCTGACACTTCTGCCTTCGGTACCTGTCGACACGTGTTGACATGTATTCTTGCCCAAGGCCCTCTCCACAACGTGTGCTTGCGAGTGTCCGGCTTCAAAGCCTTCGGAGCCTCGATAAGCCCTGTGGCCCCAGACGAACCGGCACTGTTCCATCACACTGCTCCGAATGTCTGCTAAATTTCTGTCCTGACCTTGAAAGATGCCATTGAAAAATATTGGGCACGAAACACTCCACCTAAGGATAAAGATTAAAGACCCCATTGCTGGCGCTGTCAGGTCGCTTCGCCCCTCCCTCCCTTGGCAGTGGCCTTGGACCTCGATGGATCCCATTGTTCGCCATGAACCTGTGAAACTCCTAACACACTGTCCCCTTCTCAAAGCCCCTCACAGCCTTTCAAGCCGTCGCATGACCAAGGCTTGTAAAAACGTAAGAAACCGACCATGTTGGATGCTACATGACATGTTGAGATCTTACTGTATGAAAACAAATCAGGAGTCCGGACAGAATCCCCCTACCCCCGACATATCGACATCTTGACCCAGGGCCCTGCGTCCTGCGCGAACATGCGCATTGGAGGTTTCAGGGTTTTCGGGGTTGGCGGTGTAGGTCTCGGGGTAGGTCAGGGTTCGGAGCACTGGCAGGTCTTTCGGGATTCAGGGCATTGAGAGCAAAAGCACGTGTTCTTTGTACTGCTGGTCTCATTATAGATGGACTGTTATACGTAATGCGACTGGTGCCAGTTGTTCCAAAAGATATTGTCAATATAATTCAAACTTTGCCTGCCCGTGAGTCCAAACTCCCGCTTGCTCCTGCCGACACGACGCTCACAAGCAATGCTATACCCGACATTCGAAATTCTAACCTAAGGCGCTCGACACACCCTCGGAACCCTTCCACATCGCCTATGTTGCTTTCCTGGGGTCTCTGGTTTCCCTTGAACACTCGATCGAAGAGCTTGCGGAAATACGGAATCCCTGCATCTGTCCAACGTAAGTAGTGATATCCAGGTGTTGTACACCCACATGCAAATGATCCGCTGAAGAGAGCAGGCTCTAAAATCACACAAACTGGAAACCATCGAACCTGAACACAAACCCTAAACCCTAAACCCTTGTCCTTGCTAAGTAGGAGGCAAAAAAAACCCTAAACCCCTAAACCCCTCAACCCCTCAACCCTCGCCCCAAAACCCAAAAGCCGGCTCCGAAAGACTCCGACGAAGGTGACGGCAGAGGTCCTGGCTCCTACGCCTGGGGCCCGCTTTTTCTTCTTCTTCTTCTTCTCCTTCTTGGGTTTAGGGTTTAGATAGTGTATAGAGAGATCTCAGTGTCGATTCTCGCCTTACAGTGCGCGAGTGTGCTGGGGACCGGGCTGCTGTGTACGAGGCCTGCTGTAAAAAGGGTTCAGGGTCAACTTTGGCGATGTAGGCCCTAAACCCGAAACCCTATAAGCCCTAAAACTCCAAACCCTAAACCGGATGTAGGCTTTTTTGGGTTTCGCGCCTTGGGGGTTCCAAGTTCCGAGCAGTTGGCACAGTGGCAAAACGTTTCGGGTCGGGCTTGGGGCCGTTTTTGTTCCACTTTCGGGGGCCCCTGAGGTAGGAACTGCCAATAGCCTCTACATAAGTATGCGATGATATACTGATATACCCCCCAACCAATTCCCAGTAAACCTTTTAAGGCCCTCATAGTGGAACCAGGAAGATCTGAGTTGTAAAGAACCAACATGAGAATGGTCCTAAGGTGTAGGGACAAGAACAAGACTTATGTCAGATTAAAGGCAATTATTAAGGCCCGTAGATCCTGAACCCTTATAGTAGCCCTTGTAGTGCCCCTTAAAGGAACCCTTAAAAGGTAGGGAAACTGAGGGACTGGTACTAGCAGTGCAGTTCATGCCTTCTTCGGCGGATTGGAAAGCCATCTAGGAGGAAGCAGCGCAGTTTTCATGGCTGACAAGCCTACGTAGGAGTCTCTTCGTCTTTCAGATTTTCTTTGCAGCTTCCTTCAGAGAGCCTACTTATACGAGTGTGGGAACGGGAGGTTTCAACACCAGAGTGTAAAGAAGCTCCCGGGCCTTGAATGCAAATCTAGATCTTGAGTAGAATCGGAAATCAATACTTACCCAAAACTGATACGCCACCCCTCAGCTTTAGGAACCCATGAAACCAATTCTCAGAGCAAGTCCGCCGAGGTCATCCGTGGTCGAAGTCGTTGCAACCGATGAGGCAGGGCAGAGATCAGCGGAATCGGCGGGTGAATCTACAGGGCGCTCAAGATCTTCTCTTCCTTACGGTTCAGGGTTTAGGGATCTTAAATAGGGTTTAGGGTCCCTAAACCCTAAACCCTAAACCCTAAACATCTTCAATAGGTTGCACAGTCAGCCTGTAGCAAAAAAGCATGTCTCTCCATCAGCTTCGGGATGTGAGGCTGAGGCCGAAGACTACAGGTTCTCAGGTTTTGGGCTTGAGCCAAGGGTTACTATTATTATTATTATTATAAAATTATTACTAATTATTATTATTATTAATTATTATTATTATAAAATTATTATTAATTATTATTATTATTAGTATTATTATTATTAATTATTATTATTATTATTAGTATTATTATTTGTTTGTTTGGGGCGGGGGGGGGGCGTCATTTTGGGGTTCAGCTCGGGGTTCATGACTCCAGGTGTTTGTTGCTTTTGCTTTGGGGTGCTGGTGCTCGGATTGGTGCATGAGAACCTAGTGTTGACGGCAGGGCTTGAGCAATCCTTGGAGGGTGTTGGGCTTGTCTGGAGGCTTGCAGCCTTCTATTTCAAGCTACCGATGCTTGCTTCTAGTATCTTGTATGTAGAAGCGCCGAACATAGAGAGTATGAACAAGTTGTTGAAACTATCACCGTATGGTGCCTGCGTAACATAGTAAAAAAAGCTCGATGCTCCGAAACCATCCGGAACCGCATGATCGCGTCCAGGCCTCTGTACTAGGCGCCATGTCAGCCGCTCTTTTCATACAACAGCACCTCTGACTTGACACCTTTCTTCCTGTGCAGTAGCTTCAACGCCGCAGTAGCCGTTGTTTATGAAAGAGAGAGTAGGTAGGAACACCGAACTGCAAAACCCAAAGACTCTGAACCTACAAGCCTCAAGCAACTTGAGCCGTGAGCTGGAACTCTCATTGATGTGATGTGAATGCGGATTTCCGAGTACTCGCGGACCCTCTAACTGTTGACTAAGGAACCTACCTGAAGCTATGGAGGCGTAATCCTTTTGCAAGGTGTGTGGGGCGCTCTCAGTTTAAGTCAAGCCTAACAATCAGATGCAAGTCACAGCAATTTCCTGACCTTTCCCGGCCGACTCCCCAAGCCCGGATGCAAAAAGTCAAGCCTAGCAAAACCTGACACAAGCTTAGGATTAGGTCATGTCCTGGACTTGGGGCCCCCCCCTAACCACATTTCATGAAAAAGGTACAAAGGATCCTTTGAAGACTCCCGGCCATAGAAGGTACAGGGAGCCCCAAGGCCCAGAACATTAGGGGTTCGGGGTTTAGAATCTTTCGACTAGATACCTGCCATCTCTGGTGCTTCACGCCGACCTCTTTGCGAAGCAAGTACCTCACCGGGTAGAGGGTGAGATCGTGAAGCCCAAACCCTAAATCTTGCAAAGCCTCATTTCGTCGAAAACCATAAGCACCTCCCTGACATGATCGAGACCTTATCAAACTTTAACCCTAAACCCTACCTTAACCCACCAGAACCTAATTTTTTGTAGGTTTCCTATAAATCCCATAGTAGGGTTTATAATCAGAACCCACAAAAAAGTGGGTTTTGGTAGGTTAAGGTAGGCCCTAAACCCTAAACCCTAAACCGCAATTGACGGGGGGGGTCCCGGAAGGAGCCGGAGGCACCAGTTCCAGCTGCAAAGCCCGTGGTCGAGGAAGCGCCGGGCACACCAAGAGCTTGAGGGGGCGGGTGCAATATTCCTAGGTACTTAAGGGATCATGGGACTTAGTAAGTAGGGTTATACCTGAGGTAACTATACATATAGCCCCAATTAAGGGACTTATAACCTTGCTTACTAAGTCCCATGATCCGGTGAAAGTTCCTACAGTAGAAGCCAGAAAGTTGGAACATCAATATCCTCATGCCCGTACGGCGAAGCATCAGGAATCCTAGCACTAATCCTCCTAAACGTATGTTCCAACTTTCTGGGATTCGCTGTAATATAGGGGCCTTAATAAATACTGATACTATTTTGGGGATTCCTTATCATAATTATAGTATAACATACCCAAAACCCTGTTCTAATTATAGGCTTCTACATTTGGTAGTTTTAGGGAGACCCATTAAAGGGGACCCTTCGAAACCCTACTGATGGCTCTCTTAAAAGGGACCTTATTGAGAGGGTCTATATATCCCTCATCCTCGTAATCCTAACTCGTAAATATGTAGGTCAACGCTAGTTTAATTACTTCCATCAGAGCCCCATATATTCGGAAGCATTTAACATCGCATCAGCTTAACTCATATTGTAATGGTAGTGTGGGCTGTAGGCAGCAATCACGTTCTGTCTGTCCCTATATACTTGAGCGCACCCTAGCCTTCGAATTATTCAAGTAGTAACATTGGTTCCCACCCATGCAAGTTTCTATTGAGGTTTTGAAGGGTGTTGTCATAGTGATACTGGGTGGTTTGAGTTTGAGGGTTCGGGGCGAATTTTGTGGGCTTAGGGATCAAGGCGATGTTCAGCGTAGTTCGCAGGAATTTGAGGGCATCTTCCTTTTCCAGCCCCTGCGTCTGGCAGAAGGTGCAAGGGCTCAAGCCTTTGGAAGTTGAGAGGCCGAACCCGCCCAAAACCCCGAAGAGATGGTTAAAGGGTTGAATTATGGGGGGTCACACTCCGCCTCCTCAGCTGTTTTTCTGTCGTTGCATCGGCTTAAAAAGTCTGCAGCATCAAGGGGACTAGGCCATCTCTGTCTAAGGACCTCTATATGCTAGTGGTCCAGCTTGTCTACAATAATCGGTGTGCGAGGCCACACTCGACTCTTGCTTTATGTAGTCCCGACAAGGCTGACTGCTTGTTTATGAGTTCGGCAGATTTCGCTGTTCCCCCCCCAGCCCCCCACCTCCCCTGTCTCTCACACCCTCCCGTGTCTCCCACACCCTCCAAGGCCACCAGGTGTCTCTGCAGCGTCGGCGCCCGAGCCGGCGCCAGCTCCCTCGCAGGGAGCTGAGCTTCTGTAAACTTCGCAGCTCGCGGTGAAACCCTGAGGGTTCATGTTGAATTGCTGCTGCGCCCAAAAACCGATGCCATGCAAGGTGCTTAAAGTTAGGTGCTTTGTCATCTTGAGGATGAGGGTGTGAAACATGACACCAACATCAGGGCTTTGGGGCTTATTCAATCAGCAAACAGATGTTTGCTTGCCTGGATATGGCTTCTTATGGAAAAGTCTTCGGTTCTTGACGCACATGATTTTCGATCTGCGACATGCTTACACAGAAATGGGAGACATCTCTAGTTGCCCGGAAACGATGTCTAGCCTGCCTTGGGCCGGGTTATTGGAGGGGAGAGCTAACGCAAGTCTTGGAACCCTAAGACTATAAGACGAGAAACCAAGGCGTGGCGCGAAGCCTCAAAGCTAAGCCCCTGAAGCTGCAAGCCTCTACATAGAAGGCCTTCGTGCTTCGAATAAGATTTCAGGGTATAGCATGGTATACTCATTATGTAGTTTGCCGCTTTTAATTCTGCAAGGACTTTTTTCAAGCTTTAGACCGAGGCATACAGGTTGTGCAAGCTGCAGGCCCGAAGAATTCTATCCGGGCGGGCAACTTTTTGCAAGGTTTCGGCCCACGAATCACCTATGAAATAGTGAGCAAACCCTAAACCCTAAACCCTAAACCCTACTCCAAACAGTAGGTTAATTACTCGGATCCACAGGTAGAGCTGAGGAAGGACACAAAATGGCTCAGTAGCACCTTTATAAGGAGTAGCTAGGCGGCTAAAGCACTCAGCCCCTGATCCAGGTCGGAAGTTGGTCCCGCTTCAGCGGCATCCTCGTTGTCCATGGCATTTGGGTTTGAAATTTGGGGTTCAAGGGTTTAGGCTTTTCTTGTCAGCCATCGTTGGGTTGAGATTCTTCCGAATGGTGGCAAGGGTGACCGGATCATGAGAAACTAAGCTGCTACTTGATCCTTTGCAGAGTGTTCACACGAGTTGACTTTTTCTCTGCATTTGAGAGAGACCCAGCTTCAAAAGCGCTTGGGGCTGTGAGGGCTCAAAGGTTTAAAGCAGCTTTGGGTCGAGCTGTGTAGGGTGCAGAAGGATTTCCACACGAGATGGATTGTGACGCAGTCCTTGAATACTGCTAGCTGAAGGGAACTTAGTTCTCCAATACCCAACCTTTAAACTTTTTTGGGTTCTCATAATTTAGTAGTACTCCTAAAGTTTAACCTTTTATTTCCCTGGCTTATTGGGGAAGTAAAGGAAAGACTTCATGAGTCTCAAGGATTTAGGAAGCAGGGTCTGGTCTGGTTGCGTTTCGGCTGTGGGCTTAATGTAGAAGCCTAAATATTTACTTATATTATTCCTTTAGGATACCTTATTATAAGGATACTATAAAGGGGCCCAAAACCCCATTCTAATTCTAATGGCCCCTGCAAACTCCCCACCTCGGTTTAGGGTTTAGGGTTTAGGGTAGTTTCCTTTATTTTTTGGGACTCTGGTGTTTGGGGGCTGGCAAGATGGTGCACGTCTTCAGTCGGTCAGACTTTCCGGCGCCGCCGCGTCCTTCTGTAAGGGTTTCGGAGTTTGTAACTGGGCGGGGATCTAAGTCGGTTTAAACCCTAAACCCTAAACCCTAAACCCTAAACCCTGCTGAAGCTTGTGACAATCAGCCAGAAAGCAGGGAATCGAACACAAATCCAAGGCAACCCGAAGCGGCCATGAAGCGGGTGAATACGAACCTACACGTCGAAGCCGCTAAGGTTCACGAGAGCTCTGCTGCGGCTTCGGGAATGGGGCTCGGTGTTGTGTGGCGTGAGGTTTGCGTTGCAGTTCCGTGAATGTTAGAATCCTGCAAACTTGTTTGGATTTGTGCCAATGGTGGTCCGGTTCGGGTTTGAGGTTCTGCGTCGCGAGTTTTGGAGTCCTGTGCTAACTAGCAGCGAAGATTGATGAGGCGGCGAGCCTTCGCCCTGAACCATGCAGCACACGCTTTGGACCCCGGATTACTCCAAGCCCTGTTCGTTAAGAGCCTGAGTTTGCTCCCCCTGCCAGAATCCTCGTAAAAAGGACGGTGTGATTAACAAACAAGGAAACCCTAAACCCTTTAAAGACCCCACTTAACAAAGACCCCCCGCAACGCTTCGCCTTTTTGCTCCCCCCCCTAAACCCTAAACCCAAACCCTAAACCCAAAACCCTAAACCCTAAACCCTAAACCCTAAATCCTAAACCCTAAACCCTAAACCCTAAATCCTAAATCCTAAACCCTTAACCCTAAACCCTAAACCCTAAACCCTAAATCCTAAACCCTAAAACCCTACAAAGCAAAAGTCCCTGGCCTGGTCCCCGCAGTCGCCGGCGCGGAGGTGCGAAGCCAAGGCTG